TGAGGAGGGGCCTCCTCTTCCATCTAGACAGGACTTCTGGCCACTCCAGAGGTCCCCCTTCTCAGAAGGTCCAGTCCCAGCCAAGGATCAACTCCAGGGATTTTTTTTTCTTTCATTTTCCCTAAAATGGGCATGATGCAGCAGGCCAAATCACATTTCTAGAACTTTCAGGACTGAGCCTGCTTCCTGTCCAGGATAGGAGAGAGTAAAATGCCCTGGAATTCCTCACACAGTCCTTGCTTCTGACTGTGACCAGCTCCCTTACAGGTACTTCCTTGCTGGGTGTCACGGACCCTGCTGGGCACAGGAAAGAACAGGAGGAGGCTGGGATAAGCCAGGGATAAGCAAAGGCTGGGAGTGTTCTGGTCAAAACCATTCAGGGATAAATAGGAAACATCTATCTGAAGTCTAAATGCACACTTTTGGCAGGGTTTCTGCTTAGGAAGATGACTCCAAAGAGATGTTCATACCTCTGTTGTGACACGTACCCATGGGTGCCAGAGACTGGCTCCACTGAGAACCAGTTTCATAAATAAGTCTGTCACACAGTAGCATGCCCTGTAGCCCTTTAAGAGGACTGAGGCCCGTCTGTACGCAAGATGAGGAGCAGTCTCCTGGAAACATCTCGTGATAAGACACAAAACCCTGTGTAAAAAATGAGAAGGCTAGACATGTTGAACATTTTTTCATATATTTGTTGATCCATTGTATTTCTTCTGCTGTGAATTATCTGTTTGGTTCCCTAGTGCATATATTGATTGGCTTATTTGGTTTTTTTGGTGTTAAGTTTTTTGAGTTCTTTATATATCCTGGAGATTAGTGCTGTATCTGAGGTGCATGTGATAAAGATTTTTCTCCCATTCTATAAGCTCTTCACGTTATTGTTTCCTTGGCTGAGAAGAATCTTTTTAGTTTGAATCTTTCTCTTTTATTGATTCTAATTTTACTTCTTGTGCTTTAGGAGTCTTGTTAAGGAAGTCAGGTCCTAAGCTGACAAGGTGAAGATTTGGGCCTACTTTTTCTTCTATTTGACACAAGGTTTCTTTTCTAGTGCCTAAGTCTTTGATCCACTTTCAGTTGAGTTTTGTGCAGGGTGAGAGAGTGAGGTTTAATTACATTTTGCTATGTATAAATTTCTAGTTTCGCCAGCACCATTTTTTTGAAGAGGCTATCTTTTCTCCAATATATGTTTTGGGGGCCTTTGTCTAGTATGAGATAACTGTATTTATGTGGGTTTGTCTCTGTGTCTCCTATTCTTGTACCAAATATTTTAAGTATTCTAGTGATGATTTGAAGTATACAAGAGGATATACATCTTGTTTTTGTCAGCTTTTTTGTTGCTGTGATTAAAAGATTTGACCAGAATAATTTTAGGGAGAAAAAGTGTATTTGGGGGCTCACAGTTTCAGAGGTCTTGGTCCATAGACAGCTGAGCCCATTCCTCAGGGTTCAAGGTGAGGCAGGACATCATGATGGAAGAGCAAGACAGAAGAAAGCAGCTCACATGATGATCAGAAATCAGAGAGACTCCACTTGCCAGATATAAAATATAGACACCAAAGCCACGCCCCAATGCCCCACCTCCTCCAGCCACGCCCCACCTGCTTTCAGTTACCACTCACTGAATTCCATCAGGTGATTAATTTTCTGGTTGGGTTAAGGATGTCATTACCCAAAAATTTCTCCTCTGAACCTTTTTTTTTTTTTTAGGGTGATAGTTTGGTTTTTATTGTTGTCCTGTGTTGGGCTCAGTACAGAAATACTGTCACCACCATTGGCTATTGCTAGCTCGCTAGCTTCCCAGGAGGAACAGGCAACAAAGGTGGCTCCAGATGGCTCTTAGCTACTGATGTGGGCTTCAGGGTTTGTAAAAGCAGCATAGTGGATCACACTTTCTGATATGAAGTACAAACTCTCATTCACAGTCAGATTTCACCAGGAAGGAGATGGTCAAAGCTGAAGTCACGTTAATTAAGGAGCAAACTCAGGGTCATACTTGGTCTTCCTTCGGCTTCCTGATACACCCAGATGGCACTGTAGAAGCAACGCTGCTGGCATCTGGGCTAGTGCGTTGGTGGAGCAAGGTGGGAGGAGCTGCTCACTAGTAGAACTTCTTGCTGGGGCTGTTGGCAAGGTCAGTGAGCAGCTGGCATGGGATGAACTGTATTCCACAGGCAGCTTCATGCTTCTGGAGATGGTCCACTATCTTCTGGTCATCATATAGATCCATGAAACAGAAGGACCCTCCGAGACAAGAGAGGAAGCCTAGGCAAAAGACTGCTCCAATGTCTCCCTCTGCAGGTTTGGCAACATCCCTTCCTGTAGGCACATGACTACCTCATTCACAAATCTTATCACCAATGGTACTGGATATCTTCATCAGAGGAGGCCTCAGGCTTTGCAGGAAGCCTCAGACTTGTAAAATTCTTATTCATGTCAGAATTCAAACTCTTATTCTTCGAGCCCTCCTCATGGATGTAAAAGCTCTTCACAGACCTGCAACCCAGGAAGCCCTGGACACCATCTGTTTCAGCAGTTCTAGGCTTCTACCTCCAAACCACTCCCCTGATCTTCTACTATGTTTCACTATAACCACATCAACTTCATCTAGCAGCATCCATAGGAAAGCCAAAGCCTGTGGTCAGAGAATCCAGCTTCTTAGGGTCAACTCCTTCCTGGAGGATTCATATGATTTCAGTCATCATGGATATAAAACACCTGGTGGTGTAGAAGCCAGATCCATCCTTAATCACAACGATGAACTTCCCTTGCTTAAGACCAACTGCTACAGTACAAGTGGTTGTCTCCTTGGATGTTTTCTTGGTTGTGATGATCTCTAGTAGCTGCATCTTGACCACAGGAGAGAAGTAGTGCATGCCAATTACTTTCTCAGGTCTTTTGCTGACAGCAACAATTTCATTGATTGGGAGAGCAGAGGAGTTACTGGCAAAGACACAGTGAGCTACTTCCTTTAGCACTTTGTGCTTAACACCGAGGTCCTCAAAAACAGCTTCAATCACCATGTCAGCCTTTTCAAAACCCTGGTAATCAAGCTGCCCAATCAAGTTGCTGAAGATGGAATCCTTTCAAATGATGTCATAGCTTTCTTCTTCACTTTGTCGTTCAATTCTTTGAACACTCGTTGCTGTCTCTGGCCCACTCCAGCTTCTGTAGTATCTTTAAGAAGGGTCTTTAGCCCCTTGTCCATGGAGATTGGGTGATGGAAGCTCCCATGAACCCTGCACCAAGAATAGCTAAATGCTTAACATACTTCTGTAGAGCTCCAAATTTATTTTTCTGGCATAGGACTTGGTCATGATAAAGTCCCAACAAGGCCTTTGATTCTTTAGTCAATGCCAACTCTCCAAATTTCTGGTGATTCAGTAAGATAACCAGCATCACTTCTTTGTTCAAGTCCAGTTTTTATGACATCAATTATTTTCAGAGGGGCAAGATAAAGGCCTTTGGTCTGCTTTCACACTTCTTTTTCCATGATTTTGTAAATGTGTCTAACAAATGGAATAGTCATGGCATATGCTGTTGGTTTTTCCACCAATCCCTTGTATCTCTTAGGAGAGAGCTTCTTATCAACTAGTCCATTGGCAAAAGTAACTATAACCTCTTCTAGTTATTCAATTGTCCATTTTTCTGGAGCTTTTACTCCTGGTCCCAGGGGTTCCACCAATTGGTCAGTCCCATTTTCTTTGCTCTGTCTGCACGAATGTTTCTACAAGTTAGCATCATGTCAAATGCAGCAGGTACATCCACCATTTCGGGCAGCCTTTGGGTGCCTTCTGCTCTATTAGGATCCCCAGAAAGATTTCAGGGATACCTGAAATGTATACACATGGCCCCTTCCACACCAGTGTAGCCCATCCTTTAAGCCATCAGAAGAGGTTTCTATGGATAAAAATACACACATTCTTCTCTCACCAGCTGGAAAAAAATTCTTTGCTTGAAAAGGGCTCATCTGGCCGATCACGGTGGCACATGCCTGTATTCCTGACGACTCAAGAGGCTGAGGCAGGAGGATCAGCCTCAGCAACTTAGTGAGACCCTGTCTCACAATAAAAAAAATAAAAAATGCTGTGGCTATGGCTCAGTGGTTAAGTGCCCCTGGGTTCAACTCCTAGTACCAAAACAAACAAATAAATAAGTAGGTTCATTTGATTAGAGAAGGCACATATAATCTCTATACCTTGATGTCAACTGATCGGGAACTTTAATTATACCTGTCAAAATCCTTAACAGGAGTTCCTAGATGAGTGTTTGATTGAACAATTGGGAAAAGATGTGTGCACCTAGGTCGGGTGAATCTTGGGACCATCTTACAATCTCACCTCACACACCTACTGTTTGGGAAAGGAAACATGGTCTTTGGAACTAGATGAACCTGTGTTTAGCACAGGGTGAGTAACTTAAAAGCTCATTTATTAGTAAGCACTGTGATGTAGTGTGGAAGAGGATGCAGGGGTGATTGAAGGTGGAGGTGATACCATGGAGAAGAGTATCAGTGGCACAAGCTGTCCAGTGGGGGCCCAGAAGTTTGTTCAATGGAAAAAGGGTAGAGAGTCTAGGAGATCAATCCCAGCCTGAGAGGAGGCACCAGGCACCTGCCTACATGCTGGGGGTACTCCCAGGTCTGGCTTCCTAAAGTAGGAATAACCAAGACACCCAGCTGAGCCCAGAGACTCTCCACGGGTAACTGGATTTTTTACTTCCACCTCTGATACAGACCAAATCAATATGGCAAGTAGAATTCATATTCATGATTAGGGGATCACCTTGGGCTATACAGAGGCATTTTTGCTCCTTCAACTCAAATCCCTTTCATCTGTAACTTCTCATTTCCCCGCCCACCATTACATCACCAAGGCTGGGTGGGTCTAGGCTATAAAAGCAGAGCTGCTGGCCCCGGCAAGTCTCTGCTCAACCAAGTCGGGGCCTTCACCAGCTCTAAAGTGGCCTTCACCTGCACTCCTTCACTTGCTTTTGTCATCATGCGTGAAATTGTGCTCATCCAGGCAGGCCGATGCGGCAATCAGATCGGCGCCAAGGTGGGCACGATACTGGGGCGTGGACCCTGTGTGACACAGGCCGGGGCCAGGGGCTCCAAGGATGAGAGTGGAGTCGGGAGAGAACTGGGGTCACCAGCTGCCAGGTGCCATGGTGAGGCCACAGGGCAACACAATCTGCCACCGTGAATATGGTGATGCAGCTATGTGTGCCTTAAATCAATGCCCTTTAAATTACCCAGTTTTCCTCATGGTGGCCAGTTTCTTCCCCTGCCACTCAGATGCCCTCCCACAATCCCTACCCACATTGACCCGTTGCCTGCCAGGGTTAGGATCCAGAAGCCAACATGTACATTGCTGGCATCAACCTTTGCTGGTAAAAGCTGCCTGGGGTTTGTGCCAGGAGTGGGGCCATTTGATCCTTGGTCCTGCTAGAATCCATCCAGGGACCCATCCATTAGTAGGGATTCAGGGACATGCAAACCTGCCTGGAGGGACAAGCCCACTGTGTCCACTGCTTCCTACAAGAGGATCTGTATTGCTGCTCCCTTCTCTTCCAATGTCATTCCAGCCCTTCAGTCTGTGACCATATATGGCTCCTGTTCTGCGGACTTCCCAGCCACTAGGAAGAAACTGATATGAGAAATACGGGCCACAGCTCTGTGGTCTTAGTCTAGGATTCTTGACTGTCTGACCACCATTCCAAGGCATTCCAGTGACAGGATGCTGGGACATGGAGTGATTCTTTTTTTTCCCTTCAGTTTTGGGAGGTCATCAGTGATGAACATGGCATTGACCCCACTGGCAGTTATCATGGAGATAGTAACTTACAGCTGGAGAGAATCAATGTGTACTACAATGAAGCAGCTGGTGAGTATATTGGATATTAAACTTGCTTTCCAAATGGTGACAGAGGAAATGTTCTAGGAGCATACAAATGACAAAGAAATGCATTTTTGCACTTTAATATAAAATGCCAGCATAAAAAGATAGACTTTATAGTTCCTGAATAGTCCTGTTTTTTTGTTTTTTGTATTTTTTTTAAACATGACTAAGCAGGCTAAGCATTCTTTTCCCCTTTTGTCTCAAATATTGGAATCTTCTGTAATAAATCCTTCTGTGAGAACTACACAGAATTATGACCCTGCCCACAATTCTTTGCCAAGCACAAATGTAAGTCAGCTTTTGTTCCTATAGGCAACAAGTATGTTCCTCGGGCCATCCTAGTGGACCTAGAGCCAGGAACAATGGACTCGGTGAGATCGGGACCATTCGGCCAGATATTCAAGCCAGACAACTTTGTGTTTGGTATGTCCTTATGGTCCATGGGACCATGACTCACCTTCTTCCTAACAGCCATATACTTCACAGTTCTCAGTGATCAGTGTGCAGGAGAGACTGTGTCCACAGATGGCCCCAGTCCTGGCCTAATCCCTTCCAGCCCATGGGGGTGGGGGCATTTTTCTGGTCACTCTGGACAGCTCAGGGATTAATGCCAGAATCCATTCCAGCAGCCTCTGAAGGGAAAGTCTCAAGAGCAAAAAAAAAAAAAAAAAAAAAAGCTTCTAATGAGGCTCAATAGGCTACAGGTAACTTCAAAGCATCTGTTGAACTCACTTAATTACTGTTAGGCAATGAAGGCCAAAAGCACAGCATGTGAGCAAGATTTAGACAACTGCTTAGAGCCCCTTGCCCCTCTGATCACCCTGTGCTTTTTCTGTCTATTTGTACTTCATTAGGGTATTGAACCATTTTCCCTAGTTTGAGAAGCAGATGAATTTTGTTAAACATTTTCTCTTCCCTGTTTTTCTTACTTTAAGATGATTCCCAGCATTTTTGAGGGTCACTGATACAGAAGGTTTCATCTGTGTTTTCTACCAGTTGGTGGACAGAGAGGGTGCAGACAGTCTTAGGAAACAAAAGCATCTCTGAAAAGGTTATTTAGGATTAGTTGTTAGCACAAAGAGATCGGGCTGGATACAAATTCATGGGTCATATGGGCCTTTTATTCAGGAACAGGACTATACCTGTGGGAATGGACCCACTTTCCTGGTGGAAAATGAGCCACTGAACAAAGGAAGGGACTGGGTTTATATAGTTCATGGGTGATTTGGTGAGCTTGTCAGTCTGGGCACTCAGGAATTTGAGTTTCAGGGTTGGGGGTCAGTGGCCAGCACCTGGAGAGGAGTTATTTTGGAAGAGAATAGTGTTTCCTAGAGATTATCATTCTAGGTTTAATGAGACACTTTCTCCCTTCCAGCATCTAGGAAGGATTTATTTTGGGAGAGATGAAAGCTAACAATGTATGGCCACACTATCTTGGGGTGTTTTATTTTCCAGTCCTAGTCCTACCTTCTCCACAGTGCAAATGACATCATTCAGAATCCTTGTATATTTGTGTCTAATATTCTCTTTCCCTCTGGTAGGCCAGAGTGGTGCAGGGAATAACTGGGCCAAGGGCCACTACACAGAGGGAGCCGAGCTGATGGACTCCGTGCTGGACATGGTGAGGAAGGAGGCAGAGAGCTGTGACTGTCTCCAGGGCTTCCAGCTGACCCACTCACTGGGGGGTGGCACTGGATCCGGCATGGGCACCCTGCTCATCAGCAATATCCGAGAGGAGTACCCAGACCGCATCATGAACACCTTCAGCGTCATGCCTTCGCCCAAGGTGTCGGACACCGTGGTGGAGCCCTACAATGCCACCCTCTCTGTCCACCAACTGGTAGAAAACACAGATGAAACCTTCTGCATCGACAACGAGGCCCTGTATGACATCCATTTCCGCACCCTGAAACTGCCCACCCCCACTTATGGGGACCTCAATCACCTGGTGTCCGCCACCATGAGCGGGGTCACCACGTGCCTGCGCTTCCCGGGCCAGCTGAACGCAGACCTGCGCAAACTGGCCGTGAACATGGTGCCCTTTCCACGCCTGCACTTCTTCATGCCCGGCTTCTCGCCCCTGACCAGCAGGGGCAGCATGCAGTACCGCGCCCTGACGGTGCCCGAGCTCACCCAGCAGATGTTTGACTCCAAGAACATGATGGCCGCGTGCGACCCCCGCCAGGGTCGCTACCTGGCCGTGGCTGCCATCTTCCGAGGCCGCATGTCCATGAAGGAGGTGGACGAGCAGATGTTCAACGTACAGAACAGGAACAGCAGCTACTTTGTGGATTGGATCCCCCACAACGTGAAGACGGCCATGTGTGACATCCCGCCGCGGGGCCTCAAGATGTCAGCCACCTTCATCGGCAACAACACGGCCATCCAGGAGCTCTTCAAGCGCATCTCTGAGCAGTTCACGGCTATGTTCCGGCGCAAGGCCTTCCTGCACTGGTACACAGGGGAGGGCATGGACGAGATGGAGTTCACCCAGGCCGAGAGTAACCTGAATGACCTCGTCTCCGAGTACCAGCAGTATCAGGAGGCCACCACCGAGGAACTGGGAGAGTTTGAGGAGGAGGAGGAAGAGGAGGCAGCAGTTTAGGAACTTTTCAATTTCCTTGGTAAAATTCTTACCCTCCTCTGCGCCTTTCTGCTTGGAAACTTAAGCTCCTCAGGTGGGTCTGTCACAAGTTCACTGTTGATGAGAATGTGGATCTCCCCTCAGTATGACTGTATTGTTTCTTCCACGATCTATACTAATAATTCATGTGGTCCACACTCTCCACATTTTTGTTCTCACTCTTCCTGAGATAGAAGTTTTAGGATTTCATCTTTCAGCAGTATAGGTTTTCTTCTTCAATGCTTTGAGAAGTATTCTTGTTCCTTTAGTAAAGAGATGCAAGTGCATGTTTTTTTTTTTTTAATCTTCTCTTTCCCAAAGTATTAAAATAAAGATAATTCTCAAAAGTTATTGGGGAACAATGCCATTCGAGAATCGCTGTGAGTCTATGGAATCAAGGCCTTAGGTAAGGACTTCTATTTATCTACTTCCCTTTGAACAATGTAATAAATACAAATAAAAACAAGCACCACTTTACCCATCAGAAAAACCATATACTATAAATTGTACATGTTCTAAAAAAGCAGCCAAGGACATGACAGAGTTCCACCTAAAATTTGTTTGAAAATTATGGCAGGAATTTAGGACAGTGATAGAAACTAACAATTTAACATTTTTTTTTAAAAAAATCATCTTTCTAGCTATTAAAACCAGAGGCTGCTTTCAATATGTCATTATTCCTGATTGACTAGGATCCCATTTTTGAGAGGATAGGAAGCTGGGAAGGCAGGTGAACTGAGGTATGCTGTAAGGGAGGGAGATTCTGAAGCTCTAGGGTGTGATGGTAATAGGCAGCAATATAACCAACACTGTGCTAAGGAAACACTAAGGCATGAAATATTTTATGGGCAATTTCATTGTAGGTAGTTTTCTGCAAACTTGTTGAATCAAAAATGTAAGTGCAGGTTGTTTGCCTTCTGGCATCAGATGAAACCTTTCAAAGAAAAGCTTAATTAGGGGCTGGGTTTGTGGCTTGGTGGTAGAGCACTTGCCTCGCACATGTGAGGCCCTGTGTTCAATTCTCAGCACCACACCAGTCAATAAATAAAGGTATTGTGTCCATCTACAACTAAAAATATTTTTTAAGTTATCTTAAACAAAAAAAGCTTCATTAATGACACACCTTTGGAAAACTCCTTTCCCTCCCCAAAATTTTATGAAAATCTGAGTGGAAAACTGCCACATTTTCCCCACAACTTCTACTAGGGAGACATGTTTTTATGTTCATGGAAAGTTTATACTGCTACCTTACATAAGGGTGAACCTCCTGGAGGTTCTGACCACCCTGGAGGTTGATGGTAGGTAAACCATTATCAGTGGTACATATTGCATTTGAAACTACATTAGGGAACAATTCAGAAAACAGAGTAGGGGAGGTAATTTGGTGGATACTTTTTCTGAAATATTTTTATTACATGTTGATGAACCTTTATTTATTTATATAGGGTGCTGAGAATTGAACCCAGTGCCTCACACAGGCTAGGCAGGTGCTGTACCACTGAGTTACAAATTCAGTTCTGATTTGGTGGATACATTAAAAAAATAAAATAAAAGCCAGCTCAGCTAGGAATGTGGGAGGAGCACTTACCTACTGGGAGATCTTGTAATTGCCAGTTTTTCCTTCCAAAGTTATGCAAAACTGCTCACTCTTAACACCCCCATTTTAATCAGGTGTTAACTGGGAAGGGGGGAGTTTAATTTTCATTCTCCTTTTAGAAAGCCCTAAAAGGTGATTATAGGTGAGCTGCAAGCTCCTTCCAGCTGGTAAATCGGGCAGAGGACATGACCAAGCTTTATACAACCAGGTATTTGGGGGTGAGGGATGGATAACTCAATGAGAAGTTCCTTTTCTCAAATGCAATCATGTCTCAAGCTATAGAAATAAAAGTGATGCAGCTTGGCATGGAATGCTTCTGCTGGGCTCACTGGACTGTTATTCACCATGGTGTCTATAAAACAAAGCCTTCTCCAATCTGTTGCAATCCTAGGAATCTGGCTGGAGCCTTCTGACTGAAGTGAAAGCTTTCTTTCCATAACAGCTGGATGTAAACCGGTGCTGCCATCTGTGTGTTAAATCTATGTGTTCTGTTGGGGTAGGACATGGCTGGTCTCACCAGGATGGATTATCCTGGCAGGTTCTATCATCTCTCTAAGCCACTGTTACTCATCTGCAAAATGGGGGCAATCATAGTTTCTTCATGATTCTTTCCCATGGGATTATCCTGATTACTAAATGAGATGTTGTATATAAGGTGTACACCATACAGTCTGTCTGTAGGCACATAACACCTATTATATTGCACCTTATGAAAGCCCTTATGAATATCAGCTATTTTATTACATATTATAATAATATGAAAGTCTTCATGAAGATTTTATTTGCTTATAGCATAATGAAGAAGTGTTCTGACTCGGGAGCAGAATTTACTTACCCTTGTTGACTGACACAAAATCCAATTGGTAGATTATTAAGAGAGGTTTTTCAATATGTGGGTAAGATTTGTCTAGAAAGGCTCAGACTCCACTCTTTTTGATTCTTTATCAAGCAATTGCTTTAATAAGTGCCGCATAATTCTGTTTGATGTTCATCCTGAGCAAAGTCTTATGCTGACTGCTTTCTTTTTAAAGAAGGGATTTAAAGCAGCTCCTTGGAGGAGAATGTGGCCAGCAGTGGGAAAAGTCACCAGGGCATTAGGAAAGGGGAGGGCAAACTCACCGCCCCCCAGGCAGGAAGAGGTCTAGAAGTGGAAGCTGCAAGAGTCATCCTTCCTTCACTGTCTACCTCCGAGTCACCTGGCTTCCCTTTTCTTCACACATGAAAAGACACTTTGACCTTTCTCGCCTGGGTCCATTCATGTCACTCCAACTAGTGGTATAGCTCTCACATTGGCCTGCCCTAATAGGCAAGGTTCATCTTAGCACTGGTGGTCAACCTTCAAGAGCCAAGAAAGCTGCAGAAAGAGGCCATTACCTCCCTTTTGTGACCCAGAAAAAGGACAATGTCTGGTTCACTGCCAGTCTGGCAACATGTCCTCCAGTAAACCCACCAAAAGTCCAAGACCTCTGGGGAAAGGAGCATGCCCCCATCAGCCCTCCTCTGCTGTGATGGTTAACTTTCCATTTGAATGGGCCTTATAGTGCCCAGATATTGGGTCAAATACTGTTCTGGCTGTATCTGAATGTGTTTGGGGATGATATTAGCATTTGAATTCATAGACTGAGTCAAGAAATTACTCTTCTTAATGTGAGTGGGCCTTACCCAATCTGTAGAAGGCCAGAATAGAATAAAAAGGTCCAGTAAGAATTCCTTCTGCCTGATGGCCATCCACCTGGGACATCAACTTTTTTCTGCCTTTGAACTTAGTCTGAAACATTGGCTCTTCCTAGATCTTGAGTTTGCCAGCTCCAGGGTCAACTACACAATTGCCTCTTCTGGTCCTCTGTCCTTTGAACTCAGACTAGACTCCACAATTGGCTCTCCTGGGTCTCCAGCTCAATGATTCACACTGTAAAAATTGGGATTTGTCAGCTTCCCTATCTGCATGAGCCAAGTGCTTATGATAAATCCCTTTCCACATACACACACAACCTACTGGTTCTGGCTCCCTAAATAACTTGAACATACTCAATTACCTCCACTATAATGGTTCTGAAGGTTGGAACAGAGGGACAGCCTGCCCCTGATCTAATAATGTCAAGCAATGCACTGATGTCTCCTGAGGCACCTGTCCCCACATCAGCATTCCATCCCCCAAAAGTGGCATTTTTCTTTCTTTTTTTTTTTTTCTTTTATGTCTTCAATGTACCAATGCCTCTTCGTGAAAGCCTCTAAAATGAGACTTCGGTGCGGGCTCCAGTGGCTCATGACCCATTGGTCAACTTAGGGAGGCCACGGGGCCAAGGAGTGAGGGTGGTAGGTGGGCACAGCAGGTGAGGCAAGGGCCCTCAGTGGGGCCTCAGCAGGGCTGGAGGTCCAGGGTGGGGGGGTCACCTGGCTTTGGTGGGCTGAGGGGAAGGGTCACAGGCCACTGGGTTGCAGGAGGCCTGGGCCTTCATGAGAAGCTGCTGGTTGCTATTAGTCCCCCCACCTGGCCACTCCGTGAGGATGTGGCAGCATCGACAGCAAGGCCATGGCAGGGGGGCCCCAGAGGATGGAGGAGTAGAAGGAGGAGGGCAAGGCAGAGACCCAGGAGCACTGGCCCAAGCATGGTTTTCCAAGTGGGCACAGCAGTGCCTGGCCCTGGCCCAGCAAGGCTGACAGCTGCAGGAGGAGGCAGTGGCCACCCTGCAGCCTGAGCACAAGCAGCACAAGCTGTGGCACCTCTTCCAGAACTCAGCCACTGCAGTGGCCCAGCTCTAGTAAGATTGAGTGTGCCATCAGCCTACATTTTGTTTCTGGGTCCCCTTCTGAAACGCAACTGCCACCCTCACCAGCCTCTGCAAAGAAAAGTGTGGAGACCCTCAGTGAAGTTTTGATTCCGGAATTCAGATTGGCTATCAGCAAAGCAGTAGGATGTGCTGGCTTGGTTTAAAAATACCCAACTATTTCTAGAGATTTGATCAGCTTCCTAATGTGGAAAGGTTCCTCCATCATGAAACTCAAGAGCTTCCCCAAGACTGTCTGAAGTGTACCCTATCCAAGCTACTTCAATGGAAACTGGCTCAGCTCTAGAGACTCATTTGCAACCCTTCTGGGAACCCATAGCTCTACATGGTAAAGCTGATTCAACATATTTCTTTGGAAAAAATTGTTAACTGTGTGCCTGTAGACCCATTGTCACACTTAGGTTTAGGTCCAGATTTTTTTTTTTTTTTTTTTTTGTCTATTAGAGTAAACACTTGCTCTAGAACTGTTGAAATAGAAGGTAAGTTAAGAACTGAACAAGAAGTATTTGATGTCAGCTAGCCTGTTTTAAAACTGTTTTTAGAAAGTGAGTTTGAGCTTACTGATGTAATAACAATCTTTTTTCAACATTGACTAGAATTTCTTGCTAGATACTTTTATGTTGTACCTGTTTTCTTACTCTCTCGAGTCGGGGGAAGTTCTTATGTCTTAGAATTGTGTTCTGGTTATAGTTGCTTGGAGAGCCCGGGCCATGCAAGCAAGTACAGCGGGTAATTGTTAGGTTAGTTCCCTTGGGAATGGAGAATTGCCTTTGACACCCTTCATTATC